ACTCAAAACTTTTTTAGTTGATTAAAAATTTTAAACCGTAACTTTTATTCTACTTTATCTGCTCTATCATTCTTACGAATTAGTTTTTCTCCAAACCCTCTAATATAAAAACCTTAGGGTTTTAAAAGTTGGGTATTTTATTTCGGTCTTTAGGTGTCTTGCACCATAATAGTTTGAAAATTTTTTTCGAATGAACAATGTTAGTTCTCAACATTTGTGTTACACATCGTTTTGCTAATCTAAACCGCGCGCAATACTATGTCCGTTCCAAGCTTTCAATGGGTAAAGAAGTGTTTTTACAATCTAATACTTCTCTTCATTATTTCTTGTCATGTTAAGGGCTCATAACGAGATATTATTACTACGAAATGCAATTAACGGTACAGTAGTCGCTTACCGAAACTAATTTGCGCACCAAAAATAAAAATAAAACCAAAACTATTCATAGACATTATCGTTATCGTCAAGATATAATGTCGAGCTTGGGCCAAAGTCAACAAAGCAATAATAGCATTTTTTTCTAAATTAGTTTAGCACAACCGGAGGAAACTCTCCGGAAGCCGATCTTACTCTGTAACGGAAAAAACAGTAAATAAATTGTATATAAAAAAAACGTTAATGATTTCTAGCCATTACTTTTGTAGGATATTATTTGAAAGGAAAGTTATTCCGATGTTTGAGTCCTAATAGCGTGGATAGACGCGAATTAAAAAGGTTGCAACGCAACGGATTAACGTGATAAGCAAAATAATTTATTGTGATGAGACTTCACTGTATTAACATTCTTCATTACGTTTACTAATCAGAAAACGAAAATGACGATATTAGTTAGAATATATACAATACGTTTATGATAGTACGTAAGACAAAATATTACGAATAAATTTCGTCTTCTCTTACTACAGTATTTGTAAAGTAATCGCTTCCTGCTTTTTAAACAATGAAAAGTCAAACATTCATTTGCTTTGTTTCAAAGTCACAAAACCGTATAGAATACAGTATGCTACCGTCATACGGTTATTAGTAATGCTCACTATTCCTGTGTCAGGTTTATATCATCGAACTTTGCTGATAGGTAAATATAAACAGTAATAATATATTTGTATCGACAAAATATATGTAGTGGGTGCGCGAGAATATATTAGGCATCATAGTTTTATAATTATCTCCAACGTGATAATGGAAACAATCGGAATAAACTGGCTGTTAATGGTGCGGTTTGATGATACGCACGTATATCGGCGAAGTAATCACCAGATTAAAACTAGCTTGATTTTTTACTATTGCTTTTTTTTCTTGAAGCAAACATTTCAGAAAGCGAGAATTTTTTTTGGAAAGCAGAAAGGATTGAAGAGAAAAAAAAGGTAAACAGGGCTTAACCTTGAAAAAATTATCATTATGATAGGAGTTCGATCATTATTTATTACAGTATACTGTTATTTCATCTTTTGACTATGCTTTGTATCATACTTTATTTTTATTACTTTCAGCAAGAGAGTAAGTATTATTATATTGAAGCTTGTCGATAGAATAAAATACACTACGGCACATTTGTCCATTTCTTATAAATAGATGCATAGTTCCGGAGTATATAAAATTGGTCGCATAAAATTTCAAAAAATCTTACCAGAAAAGATTAGTGCGTAGAATTTGCGCACAAGTATTACGTGGATTGATACATAAATCGCGCAGCAGTTCAGACTTTGGTCATCAGTCCAGAACTCAGTTGTCGTGCAGTCTAGAACCCCAACTGAGGTACAACACTTACATGACTTGCATGGTGGAACAACACGAGTTTCGTACTGTGTTGAAAGCTCATTTTCATGAGGAGAGAATATCTTGAATTTATACGAGAGGCTTTGTAAGGGAATTATATCGAATTTCCCCAACATAAATTGAGATAATTAACAAATCTCTCATAATCCATACTCGCCCTCACACTTCATTTACGACCTCCTATTATCTTCGTAACATTTCATATTCCACATTACATTAACCAGTATAGATGAAAGTAGCCGGTTCGATCAGGATATAAAATTATCTTAAAACTAAAAGATCTATAATCTTACAACATTCGTTTATTCATTAATTACATTGACTTTTTAGCATATAACATAGCGACAATAGCAGCTCCTACACATCCGCCATCTTTAACTTCTGAAATTCTAACTCTGGTCCTCGTTAAACTCTCCACCTCGTTCGTCAGCATATCAGAATAACCATGGTAATGAGAATGCACAGATCCATCGATCCCAATCGTGACATCTGTTGCTGTAGCTTCGGGATGCGTGAATTCAACAAGAGCCGCAATGCCAGCAGCAACGAGCTGAGCCGATCTCCTGGAGAAACATTTGACTATTGACTGAATTATTTCGAGGTCTCTCACTTTTATGTCATCGGGAAGTTGATAACGTGAGGAGAGTTTCGATATCAGCTCTTCAGGACGGTCTATAGAGCATCTGGAGGCAAAGAAATTAGATGTTAGTAAATCCTAGTCCTTAATCCTAATACCAAGTTAAAATTAAATTTGTTTGAAACCAATGTTTCAATTCCCTGACCTCTCAAAGTCACTCATGAGCTCACTAGTAAAGCTATATTTCCTTTCCATCCCGCTAGGAAGAACGCCTCCAAATAGTTCCTTCTTATCCACAAAATCAACGATTGCCAGTCTCACTAGTTCGTGCAAGTAATATCCACTGATCATTTTCTCGAACGGTTGGAATCCAGGTTTGCGGTCTTTATCCAGTTGCCTATCATAGTCTGTGAAGGCGAGAAAGTCTGCTCCCATGAGACTCCATTCCATGTTAATGACCATTCTGTCAGACGCAGATGTCTGTGGAAAGGAGAAAGATGGCCTTTGGATCTCTGCGATAGGAACGATGCAAGCGGCGTTGGTGCCAGTACCCAATATTATTGAGGCAACGGTGGTTGATGGTTCTTTGTACATTTGTGCTATGAGAGTTGA